CCCCCCCCCCCAACTTCCTACCCCCCCACCCCTACCTCCATCTTCATCTCCATGTCATTGTGTGCCAGCCAAACTTGTCTAATCAGCAGATCCGAACCAAAATAATTGGCGGTGGCCTTGCTGCTAGCGAGCGTCGTGCTGTATACAGATAGGGAAAGGAGCACTTAATATTCCACGCAGCTCGTGCCTCTCCTGTTCTCTGTGATATCTGACCTCTTTTGTCTCCTGCTCGGCTTGATGTTGATTTTGGAGGGCATTGTTAGCCAGAGCGCTGTGATTGGAAGAGGTTGTCAGTGAGGGGGGCTGTGGTTGGTTGGGTTAAAGGGAGGTTGATTTGCATAAAGGCTTAGCCCAGATTTGGAGCCACTCAGCGAGATCTGAGGAGAAGGGCCCGAGGGCCACGAGGTAATCATCCATGGCCTGTCACAGCGCTGTCATCCCTCTGTGTATTTGTGTGTCTGTGCGTCTGTCTGTATCTGTGTGTCTGTGCGAGCAGGAGACAGAGAGCATTGTATCTGTGCCTCTTTGTGTTTGTTTGTATTCCTTTGCGTTTTGTATGCATCATTGTTGAGCATCTCCATCTCACTCATGCTCCCTCTCGCTGTCTTTTTTTTTTTGGTTTCCCAGGACGGCTCGTCCGTGCCAAGCGGATGGTAGTGGCAGCCAATCCTACAGAATTTGAATATATAGAAGGCAGCATACCGATGGAGTGGGACGGTAAGTCTGGACTGCAGCATCTCACTGTTACACACTTTAACTATCACTATCATGGATAAATGACAATGTTAACAAAAGAGCTACCCAGCAGAGTACACAAAGTGCTGCACAAATAAAATGGAATAACAAATTCATGGCAGCATCTATTGGGGCCTAGGCTAATCCACTGATTTTCCTTCTCTTTTTTTTTATCATACTGTGAGATGGGGGTTGGGAAAAGCGTATTCATGAGTTTATCAAAGACGCCTTCTGCTGGTGTTATACAACCGTACCATAAAATAGTGTTTCAAATTTCTTACAACTGGATACAAACTGTTCCCTCTGTCTCAGACTGGCTTTATCCACCTTAAACCCCTCATCCTGCTTCGCCCCATCCCTCATGCATTTTCATCAGGATGCAAATAAGAAAGGGATAAAAGAGGCCCAGAATCCCTGCGCTAGCTGGAGGAAGAGTTAGAAAATCTCTCTCTCTCTCTCTCTCTCTCTCTCTCTCTCTCTCTCTCTCCTCTCTCTCTCTCTCCCTTTCTGGCTCCCTTTAACCTGCTCTGCTGTGCAGCCAGCTCAGCCAAAATAGAGCTCCTTAAAAAGAAGAAGGGAAAAAAAGAGATGACAGACAGACACAGTTCTACTCAGGAGGAGAAAGAAGGACAGAGGTACTGATGGAGGATGACGAGGATTCAAATTCAAAGATCAGAGCAGATCCACACTTTCTCTTCTGAGACACAGCACTCAGTGGCCCTGCTCTGCCTAGACTACAGCGGTATCAGTGTTTTGAGTTTATCGTGTGTGTAACTTGGATGTGTTGCCATTCTGCATGTTTCCCTATAGTTTGTGAAGTGAAATGAATACAAAACAAACTGAAAACTACCAACCAAACTAGCTTGGTTACTCATTAGTTGCACCGAGCTACTGTAGTGCCCTGAAACTCAGCGATGCCATAGCCGCAGCCTCTAAATATGACTGCGGGTTTTGTTTGTGCAGCGTATGTTTGTGTGGGTGTTCTCACTCCTCTTTTTTTCTTCCTCCTCTCTCCTACTCCTCCAGCTTGGATCCGAGGCAGACGGAGGGAGCCACCCTCCATCGAGGTACGTCTCCCCCCCCTCCCTTCTAGCCTCCCCGCTGTGCTGATGGTTGGACTCTGGGGGAATAGTTATAAGGGAGGGAAAGAAGCAAAGATGGAGAGGAAAGGCTTTGATTTGTTTTATCGTACAGTTTTCAAACTGAATCCAGGAACTTTGGGGGACAGGTGTTAAAATAAACAGCAGCTGAAGTGCATTGATGGCGAGACGGAGAGCAAAGACAGCCTCTGAACAAGGGGCTCACTGACACCATGTCCTAGTTTACTTTCTTTTTTTCCCAGCAAAAGCCTGCATCTCGGCTTTTTGTGTTTTATTTCTGGCAGTCTCCAAGATGGGAATGGTGAAGGAGTGCAGTTTTTCCCCTCGTGTACCTCTCACTGGGTTTATTGCTCTTTAAATGTGAGAATGCTGGAAATTATTTGGCCGGCGAAATGTGGGTCTATAGGAAATCCCTTGGAAGGTCCAATACCCAGGCACTCTTTCTATCTCTCTGTCCTCTCTCCCTGCCAGTGGCCAATGCCATCCCCTGCCTCTATTGCCAGAACATTCTCTTCCAATTTTCTGCCTTGCGTCTGCCCAATAGCTGCCATCGACAGCTGGACAGTGTTGATGTGGCCAAGGCTTCACTCCCAGCACATTACCCTACCCCTTGTCACGCTCCCTCTCTTCCCAGTCCAAGCCGACATAAATTGATTGGATTAAATCCTGTCATTAACAGGCTGGAAAAGCAGCTCAGTATGTTTGTCTCCCCCCCCAAAGCGGGGCTTTTTGGCCACGGCTTTCCCCTCTCTTTTCCAGTCCTTTAGTTCTGCCAACACACAACAGCATTATGCCCAGTCCTCCCTTCCTTTTTGGTTTCCCATGCTAGGGAAAGGCTAACATCACTGGACACACTAGCTGTGGCTCAAGTGGGTAACTATTCCACCGGTGGACTTTGTTCAGGTTATAATTGTTTCCATGAGCTGGAATGGTTGTTTATATTGCGAATGCCTCCTGTCATGTTAGTTTACCAATCCGTTCCAAGCACTACATTTTTAACCAGGGTTTATTGGACCAATATAGGTTAACTGAACACACTTGTTCTTTTTCTAGTAAATGTCCTACTTTATACTCGACAGACACACACATTTGTTCCTGGAAGATGCCCAAGTCCAACTTCGTGTCTCCTCTACTTTTGACTAGTGAGCAGTTGGCTTTTTGTGCCGTGCACTAAAAGAAAACAGAGGCAGCTGATTACAGAGGGGGAATTATCACTGGTTCAGTTTGCAGGACAGTTTGGAGGTTCCAGTAAGTAATCTTGTAGTCAATCTCCATTTTCTCAAATCTTCAGGAAGCTGCTGCCTCAACATTTCCAATACCACAGACCTTTTGTAGATGATGTCCAGTATGGGGTGGGCGATATATTCATCAAGCATCAGAGATTTTGCCATATTGTTTATACAGTGGTAGGTGGTAAATTATATTATGAAATATATTGGTATTATGACATAAAATGATAGACATAGAAGACTTCTTCCATATCACCCACCTGTAAAGCTCAGTGTCACAGACAACACGTAACCAATAATTCAGTTCCCTCAAAAAAGGCCTTAGAAGGTATTGTACTCTTGAATGTCATTGACAAAGATCTTGATTACTTTTTCTGGCCTGGCATAGACGGTAACATTAGTCATACGGTTTTTTTGTATGTGGTTGCGGGCTGTCGGGTGACTTTATTCATCTATAAACTATAAGTGGGATTGCTGTGACACTGGCATGCACAGGAGGCTGTAGCAAACACTGCACAGTAGGTTGGAAGTTCATCGACTCATAATGGGGAAGTGTCGATTTTTGCAGAGTTAAGAGTTAATTTTAATTGGTTAATCCATCCATCATCTGGTTCCAGGTCACTTTAAATGATTCATTATATTACTAGGAATTACTGTTGTATATAGCTGGGAAGTACTGACAAAAATGTGATATGAATGTCAATACATTCATGCATTTAATAAATAACTCTAGGCTATATCGTTCCAACTGGTTTTCCATCATTCTTTCACTGGTATGAGCATGAAAAAGGTATTAAATTCTACAGTATGTGGTATTAAAAAGGTGTTACATTTAACTTGGCGAACACTGCAGAAACCCTGAATATGAATGTATGTCCATCTGTGTATTTTATAGGAGCTGCGGAAGAATGAGTCTTACAGGGTGCAGATCAAAATAAAGGCCCAGGAGCTGGATGAGAGAGATCTGACCCTACAGGCAAAGGAGTATGAGGAAGGTCTGGTGGCGACTCCTACAAAGACTTTGGCCAAGGGCCATGCAGCAGCCACCAGCTTCGGCAAGCAAGAGCTCAGCGAAGACCCCACCAGCACTGCAAACACATTCCAGCCTGGCTCCTGGATGCCCAATCCCAAGAAATAGACAGAGACATCCACATACACTGAGATGGCTGTACAATATAATACAATTCAATAGAAAAGCCCTGCAATAAATACTACCTATGTGAAACTGATATTCACTTTTAGTTGAGACTTTGAAATGTAATGTAAGAAACACCTTTCAGGATAATGCAATCCAAGTCAACAGAGGAAGTATTTATTTCAAGGCTGTTATATTGGGCTGTATTACATTATACGAGGGGTTCTATTCTTCCAGTCCCTCTGTGTATATTGTTTATACACAAGATTATAACCATCACTCATCTCGAAACTTACTTACTATGAGTGACCACAGTTATTTAATGTAGCTCAAAGGTCTGTTAATAAAGCAAAGACCAACTGAAATGGTTGTGCTTCAGTAGTCAGAGTACACCAACTATAAACACACTGTATCATGTTCGAGAGAGATTGTAAGAAGTCATTTCTAATAAATTTGGACTATTTTAATGACATCATTGACTAATATATAATAAATGTTTTAACATCAAGCTGATCAGAAGAACAAACCTCGAGAAACCTCTAGATAAGATCACTGTCAACTTTTTAACTTGAACTCTGAAATCAGTAAAGGTGGTGCATGCAGCTGTAGTCACATAAAATGTTAATGTTTCTGTTTATCATGGAGGTGGTGTCTGCTGCTTGTAAATCACAAGTCAAAAGAATGAGTAATGTTACAGCATATTGATCCCTAGTAAGAAGTTCTTTCACTCGGGGTCAGAGTGCAGAGTTGCTAAACAAAGTTCAGCAGGGTTGGATACTCGCTAGAAGAGCAGCATGAACTAGGATCCTGCCGTTGCAAACAAACAGTCTCCCTACTAGTATGATTTACCAAATGCTCGAGAGGTAACAGTATAATGGATACAATTTCAAGGAATATGTAGGAATGGGTACATGCCGGTATTTAGTCATCTGTTGCTTCTGTATACAAGTTTACAGGTACTTAGAACCACGGTATCTATAAAAAGCATCCATCCCCATGCACTTGTTTTATCACTTTACACTGAGTCACAGTCAATGTAATTTGTTTTTAGTACTAATTAGTAAAAAATAAAAGACTACCAAACAAAGCTAGATGATGAATAGATAAGCATAGTATATAAAATACTAAATATTGCCTGCGTGAGAATAATACCTTCAGGTCCATGGAAATTATATTTTATTCCTCTTCTGACTTGTTTGGATATTCCTTTGGCTTCATACTGTAGCTTTCTTTACAAACTGACAAACCAGGAGTGGGAGTATGTAACCTAAATGCACGTGTCACACCCTTACAAACACTGGTTCAGTGCTACAAAGCAAAAAACAGGAAGGGGATGTATCCTTTTTATGTGGACTGAATTAAAAGTACTTAGTCCGATATTAAAGCCACACAGAGGAAATTAGATTTTCTTATCAACCATGAAAACTTTATTGATTAGAAAGTAGTATTTTGGATATTTTGCAAGTGACTTGGAAAAAGTTCCAATATGCTCATTACATCGTCAATTCAGCTGAACATGGATGCTAACAATGGAATGCAAGGTGTTGCAACAGCTGCACAATATTATCAGCGGATCTCTGTATAAAAAAAAAAAACATCATACAGATGACCACTGTGCTCTTGCTGACCAAAGTCCCGCTGGGACGAGCCTCCTCCAGGCAGTACTGTCCGTCTCAGCACTGTTAGGCCTGTGGGGCCAGTGTCCCTCCTCCTACCCCGGACATGAGGCGTAGTGGCCCTGTGCTGACAGTAGGGCTGGGACAAGGAAGGGCACCGTGTCATTATTTGGAATAAGGAGGGCTGTGAGCGTGGTGGTTGCTCCTCTTATTTATGCCCTCATTCTACCCTCACAGGCTCAGTCTTTCTTGGTCCTCTTGGCCTTGGCTATGTTTTCCTGGCGTTTCTGCTTCTTCTTCTGTTCCCGGTCACGTGCCTCGATCATCTTGGCCAGTTTCCAGGACAGCAGTGCACTGGCAATGAAGAGAGGTGTGAGAGCCAGTATGACAGTGGTGAGGAAACCGTAGGGGTCTTTGGCAGCCCACTCCACCACATACTCTGCCCATGCCCGAACGTCAATCATCCTGTTCTGCAACGACGAGGATTAATCAGACCTGAGAAAGGGGTACCAGGAGGAAAAGCAGTGAATAGCCAGAACAGTGTGATATGTAGAAAAAAAAATATTATAGCCATAACCAAAGGACCTTCGAACAATAATAATATATTAGGAGTGGGCGAGTTGGTGTTATGGATACGATCTACTTTCACAGTGAATGCAATTTCATAATCGCCCGTCGATAATATATGCAGTGTATCGCATTTTCTGGAAAACCAATTCATTAATAGATAATCGACAGAAAGCGTACAGTCAACCATTTGATAATCAACTCATTGTTCAGGAGAAATACCAAATACTTGATGGTTCAAGCCTCTGAAATGTAAGGTTGCTTTATTCTGTTTTATATCATAAATTAAATGTATTTTGGTTTGAGGCTGTTGGTCGCACAGAAAAAGCAAGTTGGCAAAGTTCGAAAGTCGTGGTTATTCTAAGCCTTTAACTTTCTGGCTAATCAGCTAATACCTGACAGGTATTCTCACACTGATGCACACGTTTACACTTTCACACCACTCACTCGCTTCCTTTGTTTCCTACCTACCTCTTTATTGTCCTGTTTAATAGAGGTGAGGAAAAGCACTGCTTTTTTTGATGCTCAAGGTAAAACGTGTGATATAACAACATTTTAATGAAGTACTGTAGTTCTTATGAGATGCCCTGGCCTACAAATCTTGTTCATTAGATGTAAGAAAACATGTTTGTTTGGTACGGACCGAAAAACAATTTCACATCATAAAGACAACAATTAAATCTGTGATGCAAAAATGATCCTTCCCACACTAATCGTGAATCGTTTCACTATCGCAATATTAGTAAAAAATGATCACGATAACTGATAACTGATGAAGGATTTCCTGTTTTAAGTAAAACTTCTTTATTAAAATTGCTCAGTTGATGCTCATCACATTGGGCTGCGAGGTCAGAAGGAGTTAAACATCAGTAGTGAAATAATAGTTTCCCAGTCATCCCTCCAGGTTATTGGATATCCAGTATTGCTGAGTCAAAGGCAGCTGGGCTTTCTGTTATATCTGAGGTTTTTCATCACTAATTCAAGAACAGATAACGCATCTTACACACAAAAACCATTCTCAAAGCAGTTTAGTTGACTTAAACTTTGCAGTTTGATGTTAGATGTGAAACTGAGGCCATTTGGAGTCATTCTGAGCTATTTTCAAGCTGGGCCTCTCAAGTATTTCAGAGCCCTTTCTGGAAAATAACCTGACTTCTCAACTGCTCTGTACAATATTGTATTGTAAGTTAATATTGGGCTACGCAATAAATACCTCTAGGATAACAAGTCCAATGATTATAGACACACAGAAATGAACACTGGCCTTGTAAATAGCTGTAACGTTAACCAGTTTACTCCTAAATAACTCGCACAGAGAGATATTAATGACATTTAGCAACAGGTCTGTTATCACGTTGTCTAATGTAACGTTAATACCTGTAATGTCATCGGTATGGTTTTATGAATCCATTTAATGTGAGTCAAGTTGAAGATAACGGATTTAACAACTCAACACAAATCGCAGCTAACTAGCATATGTTAGCTGTATTCAAAGACGAACCCGTTACAAACATTTCATTCTGACTACAGCTTTATACAAACACGTTAAAAAAAACAAAAACAAATTCACATCGTCTGCCACTGGGATTGAATGTGAATCTCTGAGATGTGGATGAAATATTTATAGTTTCTACAAACGTTAGCAAGCAGCGTAGCTAAACCCGCACATCCATAACGGCCTAACTTTAAGGAGCAGTAACTAACTCTCGGCCAAACGGCGAAATAGCAAGCATATCGATGAGCCCACACAACGATTGTATATTTTAATATTGGTTAGCGGTGGTAGAAACGAACTAAATACATCATAACCTTACCAAAGTGCAGAGATTTTGTTGATATCCGCGATAATAAGTAGCGACTCCTCCCTGTTCCGGGTGGTGTAACCGCTGTGTGGTCCCGCTGCTGATTGGGTATGAGGCTCTCCTTACCTCATGGGAAATGTAGTTCTTAGACAGAAAATAGAGGGAAGGCTCATGGTGCACTAAAAGCTCTGAATTCATATAAAGCTCTCTCCTTTGATGACTTTGTAACAGGTATTGCCTTTTTTTTTTATTGTTAATTGTTGCCTAATATGCATTATTATTATTTTTTTTAAACAAAACTTTAAATTAAGTAGTAATTAATGCAGTGTTTTGGCTACAATATTGTAGCCTATAGGTGTAAATGTACAGTGGTAATAGAAACGTTTAGTTTGGATGATGTAGTACTCTTATGTATATTAATATCCTAACATTAAACAACTTGACAGGAGCAGAGCAGAGGTTTAAGAACATCTAAATGTGGCAAACCAAAATGAACATGCGGAGGAGTGGATAAAGGCAGCTGTAATAATACAGTAAAGCCTATAAAGAACGTAATGAATTCAGAAAAGCAGCAACACCATTTTTATCATTATTTTTCTTCTTTTTTTACTCCTAAATATATTTAAGGAAGTAACATGCAGCTTGAAAGAACTCTGGAAAGGTGAGCCATACTCTGAATTTGAGAAAAATAAGAATAAAGATGAAATCAAATACTGCAAGTCATGAGGCATAACAAAAAAAATTGACAATAACAAATGATAAGATATTATAAAGACAACTTGTACCATTGACAAACTGTACAGTTTGTGCAGGAATGTGCAAATGATTACATTATTATAAACAATATTTGTTTTAAGTAAGTGAGTGAATGTTTTTTTCATGAATGTAAAGCAATGTCCTATGTGTAATGATTCAAATAAAATATTGGAGACAGAGTAACAAGGAATACAAAACTCTTGAAAAAACAGTAGTCCACGTTGCTACAACACATTGAATAACAGGACATCTAGCTGTTGCTAAAGCTTCTGATCATGTGTAAAACTGCTCTGAATAAAACAAACAATAAGGCAATAACTGTGTTAAAAAAAAAGGTGGGGAGGGGGGGGCTTGGGGGAGCAAAATGCTCCACAGCCCTCTGAGAAAGACGACTAACATAACAAAGGAGGACCTGCTGGCTTTGTGAACTTCCTGTGGGGAAGTATTGAAACCAAATCAGGTTAGGCCACATCTGCTCTGTCCATACGGCATGGATCACTTTCAGAGCAGTTCAAAGGCCGGCCTCTTAGACCTACTCACAGAGGAAGGAGAGGGGCAGCTGGGAACACATTGCAAACACACATTCTGGTTTACCAGCATAGTTTTGGCCAAGTTTTATAGACAATTTAGAGAAATATCCCCATTCTGGTGGCTTTTTTGTTATATGTTTATAATTATTAGCTTCTGCGAGATGTCTCAGCAGGCGGGGAGAGCCCAGGGGGTGGGCAATGCAGCCGCACCCTAAACCCCTGATGGCTATTTTACTCCTACAGAAGTAGGCCCCCTTTCCATGACACAGCTATGGAACTAACATTATCAACAGCAGGGAGGAGGGCCATAAAATGAGTGCACCACAATTTATAGTTAACCAGCTCCACTACTGGTATGTGTCATAATGGTTACAAGAAAAACCACCAGTCGGGCCAGACCTTGAGGAATTTTCAACATCCTTTGATTTTGCCTTTTCTGTTGCAAGTTGACAGACTCAACCATTGGGGTGAGTAAAGAGTAGAGAGTAATTTAGTGTTGCACTTTCATAAAGCTGGCAGACGTGGGAGAGATAAAAAAAAAAAGAAGAATGATCATGATCGGTGCAACAGAGGCAGATATCTGGATCTAAAAACATGAAAAAACAAAAATGGGTGAAACTCCAAAAGCATTGGATCACTTCACATAATGCAACTTGATAGCATCGTAGAGCCTTTGTTGAATACCTGGCAATCCCAACATCTTTCAAACTCCAAATCCCCTGTTTGTAACAAGCTTTCTGTTTAAAATCTTAATGTCCTAATCCAAGATAACCCTGATGACATCATCAGAGTTAGACTATGTATTTTCTCAGAACTACAGGGAGCTCCCTAAACCACAGAAGATGCCTACAAGTGTTTTCACAGGCAACACGCCAATTACTCCCCCCTTTATGAGTATATAGGCCTGCTTATCTTCATGTGTAAAATCTGTGGAGGGACCCTTTAAAATTAAGATAAATATTGTCTGTGTGTGAGAGAGAGAGCTTTCAGAGTGTGTTTGTGATTAATCGTCCACACTAGGCAGCAACCAAGGCTAAACTAAAAAAAGTTATTTCACAAAAAACTTTTTATTTAACAGAAATAAAAGTAGAAACTAGACTTCAGAAAAAACTAAAACTAATACTACAACAATAAAGTGTGCTTACAAAACTGACTGAAATAAATAAAAATACACAGGAAACGTCTTTGGTTCTAGGCATGAGACTGGGATGTCTACATGACCGTGAATCAATTGCCATCACAAAGTGTGTTGTGTTTCTATTGTAATAGGTCTATGTCTACTCTAAATGTCTCTAATCTCGACAAATAGCCCCCATACTATTTTTTTTTTAAACTAACACCAAAACTAATAAAAACTAAACAGAAACTCTGGAAACTAAACGGAACTGAAAACACAAAAGAAAACCTAATGAAAAATACAAAACTATAATAGCCTAGCTCTGGCAGCAGCACAGTAAGCCAGTGCCAAATAGCTGACCAAAATGACTGATTAGTGACTACAGATGACAAGCATGTCCAGCTCCATATCTTTATGTCCCTCCTCCCACGCCCTTTCTGTCTCTGACAGCTGAGAGAGTCCTTTGGACTAAAGAATCGAAAACAACCATCACGTTGTTATTGAAGAAGCTAGAGCCCGGGGTGGTAGCACAGGCTCCAAAGGAAAAAAGTCAGTTTTCTTGCTCCCTTTTACCCCTGTGGGAAACTGCGAGACCGCCCCTGGATTAAGTCCCCGCCTTTAAACTCAAATAAGAAGGAAACTTCAAAGGCCGTCGGCCGCCGGGGCTCCGCCCTCGCGCTCCCGAACGGCTTCACAAAGGATTTGCCGACGTTCGGGAATTCCGCCTCCAGTTCCTTTTATAGCGCCACTCGTGCGCTGGCAGCGCTCCAGGACCCCGCCCATCCCGGTTACTTTGACAACACAAAGGACTTCACGGAACTCGCAGGCGCCGCCTCCCATTCCAAATAAGGGCAGTCTCTCCATGTACGGCAAACAATCGGTGCGAGATTGCCCTTTTCTCTTCCTTATCCCGTTTATATGATCGGAGAGGAACTGCGCTTCAGGTTGGAAGCGGTGCGATCATGGCCGAGCGAGTCCAGCAGCCCCCAGCCAAGCGGCTCTGCTGCAGGCCCGGCTACAACCCGGCGTGCAGGCAGGGGCAGCGGGCTGGAGGAGTTCTGTGTGGCGGCGCAGGGTCCGCTCCGGGAGGGTCGGGGAATGGAAAAACGCACAACCCCGAGTCGTTGCTCGACATCGCGGCGCGCAGAGTCGCGGAGAAGTGGCCGTTTCAGAGGGTGGAGGAGCGGTTCGAGAGGATCCCGGAGCCCGTCCAGCGGAGGATCGTATACTGGTCATTCCCGAGAAGCGAGAAGGAGATCTGTATGTATTCCTCTTTCAACGCCGGAGGAGAGGAAAGTGGAACTAGCGGGGACAATAATGACGAGACCCAGCTGCCTTTCCTACGGGGTGTCACTCTGCTGGAGGGTGGCTGGGTGGACAACGTATTGCAAGTCGGTGAGTGGACTATAACGTTACAACAATGCAGGAAAACAGCCTGTACTAAACCAAACACCAAACTCGCACCGTGTGCCTTGTTCTGTGGAACCGGGCCAGACTTTTAAAGGGCTTGTGTTGTGTGCCTGCCATAGCCTTGTGTATTATAAACAATGCAGGGTATTTCCACACTCGTCTCCCCTATAGCTGTGTGAGAATAGCCTGTTTTCGGATAAGCCCGTAATAGTAGCCCACTTCTCCTTGTTTTTGCCCACTGAGCTGCGCGCATTGAATCGCCCAGAGCCAACCCAATTGGAAGCTTAGCACTTTGTTCCTATTTTTATGTCTTTCCAGCTCTCCATGCCCCCACCAATGGGTACGCAGACAAAAGCCCCCTATATCTTTTCACCGCTGGCTAAATAGACGATATTTAGAAAGGGTGGGAGGGACGGCGATTTAAAGCCACAGTGCTTCTATTTTGTTTGCCAAACACCTTTGTGAGACAGGCTGAAGCTTTTTCTGCTGCCTGCCCAACATTCAGTTAAAGCCCAGGCTATATGCAGCTGGTAGAGGCAACGATGCATTTTTTCCCCCCCTCTCTGCTGCATTATTTGTGGTTAAGCTCGGAGTAAACAGAGGTGCTTTAGGCTCAGCAACCCCCTGCCTGCCTGGCTGGCTGGCTGGCTGCCTTTGCCAGAGCCACAATATTTCACTGCAATCGTCAGTGCAATAGACTCAGCTGTCAATCCGACTCCCCACCCTTGGAAACGGTTCAGGATTCTAATCCCATTAACCCCCCCAGTTCATCTGAATCTTAATGCATTCTGCAAACAAGATTTTATGCATGATCTTCTTCCTCCGCCCTCCCTCACCCTCTCTATCTCTCTCTCCCTTGCTCCCTCTCTCTCCCTCACTTCTTGGCTTACTATCCCCTCCAAAGAATCTGTGTGGAGATGGCTTCAGCTCTTGTGGGCTCAGAGAATGTGCAGTGCACAATAGTAGCCATGGAGCAGGCAGACAGGCAGGCAGCTCTCCCTCCCTCTCTGGCCTGTTTACCAGATTCCCCAGCATTAGACTCATTTATGTGCTCACTCTTTTGGGGCTTTAGGAAGCGAAACAGCACAGGGTAAAATAGTTTAAGGCGTCAGTGAGAAGATATGTGTGTGTGTGCGCACTTCTTACTGGAAAATAGTAAGAAATAGTGACAAAGAGAGTAACAGGGTCATTCTCTTTGGCCACGCGTGTGTTTTTGTGCGTGTGTGAAAGAGAGAGAGAAGAGTATGTGTGGGGGTTTGATAAACACAGAGGGGGGGTTGTGCATG